TCCTCTGTGGTCCGTGTCTCCATTCTTCAGCTTCACAAGACTACGATCTCCGCACAAGAAAAATCCTACATCATGTAGACAGAAAAAGGGGCCACATACTAAACCCAACAAGTTCCAGAGAGGCCTGCAAGGCAGGTCTACAAGCTCAGAGACCAAAATTAACCACATAGGATGGTCTGAGCATAAAAATTCTTAACTAAAAGCTGGTCATGGCCAATAGTCACATCCTTGGCCTGTAGCTTTCTTTCATAACATTTTGTTCTGTTGTTTGTGAGCAGATTCTGAAGGCTTGTAAAGACTCTATAATTGCATAAGTTGGATTTTAACCGTGGTCTTCCTCCTGGGGTGTGTGTGTGTGTGTGTGTGTGTTTAGTCCCTGTTTCTATAAATTAGGTGGGGGAGGGGTGGGGGCTAGAACCCTCTCTAAGATGCCCGTGCAGCAGGGAAGGTTTATATCCTCATGGGTGTCCTTGACTTTGTCTTCCTGCTTATGCTCTGCTCAGCACACACACCTTCTTGTGGCCCTGCTTATGTTATTCTGTTCTACATCAAGTCAACATAGGCAAGGAATTCAGTTTTTAAATAAGCTTTCATTAGTGGACCATCTTCTCTCTCTCCACACAAGAAATTTGTGTGTGAGTGTAGTTGGTGACATTGAAGGTTGGAGAGGTGGATAAGAGGAATATTACAGAAGGGCAAACAACTTCAAATTCAATATTAAAATGCTTGCCTTTACCGGCTCTTTGGTGGCCTCGTGACCTGGTGTTTTGATCATCCACTTCACTGTTGTAGTTGGCCAGATGGGTCTTCTCTTCTCTCTTCTCTTTCTCCACCTTTCCTTTCTTTCTCCTCAGTCTTTACACTCTTTCCCCTTCCTCTCCTTTGAGTGTAACCAGTATTCTATGTATTCTGTGATGCAGGATAGTTCAGCTGTCTCCATCATCACCCCAAACTCAGCTATTTTCTACCTTTGCACATTGCAATTTATCAAAATGCTCAATCTGCACAGGGTCCACCCTCTCAAAGTCTCAGTTGGTTGAACAAAAATACTTTTTTGTGTGTGTGTATTTTGTTTTTACCATTAGAACAGAATATTGAAATGCCAAAGAGTTGGTAATGATGATACTATGTTGGTACGACTTGATGCACCACTAACTCCTGAGGTAGTAACAGATGGGGCACGAGAGAGATCCAATCTGGGTGAATTACTAGCTAAAATTAGAGATTAATGTGTTAGGTTCAGAATTCATGTTCGTGTACTAGAAATAAAAACTGTACAGTAATTAAAATCCAAAGAGGATAGAGTGAAATAAAAAACACATGAATAATAATTGCAATTTTATTTTAAATAGACCATACTATCCAATAGATAATTGCTTGTACAATATAATTTCAAAACTTCTGACTTTATAAAAAAGAAAATCATTTTAACCTGAACTTTTAAACTTCTAGAACTACTTAAACTAATGCATTAGTTCTGATTTTTACATTCTGAGCTTTCTTATCTCTCTGGCCTTAATTGGAGTTCCAGGAAGCAGGCCTTTTATTCCTGCACATTTACTCACTTGATTTTAACTTACTTAATTTTTTGTTTTCATTCAGTTTGAGATCTTTGTGATTCTTCATATAGTGAGTGACTTTCTAATGAAACCTGAGCATGTTGAGTGTCCTATAACAAGACTCTGGGTCTTATTTACTCCTTCTGCTTTAACTGGATTCCTCTAACACTGCACCAGCAGGGAAGTGGGGGTGCCACCTCATTACCCAGGTTCCCCACCTAGTCTCCATTGACAGCGGAAGGGATTGGACTCATTACTACTGAGTGGGGTACAAGTTCCAGCTCTCCACTAGGCCTCCACTGATGCCTCTATGGCTGAGAGAGATAGATGCACCTTGTTACTTCTTCCCACATGGCTGCCACTGACAGTGGGGGTGGGAGGGACCTGACACCACATCAGTGGGAAGGGGTGGACACCTTGTTGCTGCTATGTGGAGGTAGAAATCCACCTCCCTTCCTGGCCTCCACTGGTACTGCCAAGGGGGAAGTCTTGCTTTCTTTAAAACCGCAGCCTGATGAGGGTGGAAGTCTAGGTTCCCTACTTGACTTTTGCTTGTGTTGGGGCCACACATTTCTTAAGTGGTGTTGGGCTGCGGTAGAGCAGTTATTGTCTAAAATTAGTTTTCTGCTTTGCAATGCTGCCCCTTTCCTTTACTTCTGGCTAGAGAGAGCTGACTGTTGGGCTTTATTTTGTCTCTTCTCATCAGTGTTGCTTGGTTGCTAGCTTCTTCAGATCCAAGTCTGGGATACAGAAGGCAAAACAAACAAGCAACTCAGGGAACTCACTACTGTGTAGTCTCTTAGTCCTCATGTCCCCAGGTGGTCTGCCTTCTCCTCTTTGTCTTTTGTACTCTATGTTTGTGTTTATACATAATGTCCACTCTTTTTAGTTGTGCACAGTCCCAGAGTCCCAGATACAAAAGTCCTGAAAAACAAGACTTCTTGTTCATTTTTGCTGTTTCTTTAAAGTCAAAAGACAATGACCAACCCTGTAAAGACACTTACTAGAAAACAGTTTGCATAACCCAGATTACTATATATGAAAGACTCCTTTAAAAGGTACCTAAAACGTGTATATGTGAAAATGAGTAATTAAAAAAGCCAATTCTAGGAATGAAGAATTCTTAGGCAGTTGATGTTACATAAATAATTTGTCTTGAACATTGTAATTTATGTATATTTGAGATTCTCAATAATTATATTTGTTGTATCATTTAAATTGTTATGTCTGTTGTATTGAACAGGGGGAGCCATCGATATTATTCTTTTATTAAACTACAATAAAAAAGTAATACCTGCTTTTTGTAACAAATCCAATGAACTCAGAATAGTTTAGAGTAAAATAGTATCCCCCATCCCAATTCCATTCTCTAGATGTAACTACTCTTAAGTCAGACATGCATCCATCCATCCAGATTTTAGTGTATTTATACTTTTAATCACACTTTTACTCCTAGTTTTCCTCTCCAGCTTCTCTTTCTATGCACTCTTTATAAGCTCATCCATCTTTATCCAACTGTTAAATGTTTGGATGCTTTCATACTTAGTTCTAGAATTATTTTCTTGTCAATCCATATTGTTTTTCTTTGGAACTCATCTATATCCTTGTTTCAATTGCCATTTACACTCAGATGACTCATAAATTCATTTTCCTACTTTAGATCTCTGGTCTGAGTGTCAAACCAATAACTCCAGCTTTCTCCTTGACATCCCCTTTTGGGTATCCAAACAGCACTCCAAACCTAACATGTCAAGCCAGACTGATGAGCCATTCCAACCTTTTCCAGGTCTCACATCTCAGTGAATGGAACCACTATGTATTGAGCTATGTTTACTAGAAGCTTATCAATTTCCTTTTTCTTTCACCTTCCACATCCAATGAATCAACAAGTCATATGGCTTTAGCCTCCTGAGTCTGCCCATTCCTTTCCATTCTATCTTCAGGCTTTCATCATCTCCTACCTGGGCTCATGCAGTGGTTTCTTAAATGGACTTTCTGCTTCTAATCTCATTGTGCTTGAATTACTTTTTTACTCTGTAACCAGGGAGATCTTTTCAAAATACAAATTCGGTCATGTTACCTGCCTGCTCAAAATATTGCAATTTTTTTATTGCTCCCATCGTAAATACCTAAATCCATAACATAACTTAGCACAGTACCTGTCTTATAGTTGACACTCTAATGTTGATGGAAGAATGTATAGATGAATTTACATAGTTTACAGTACTTGCTATTAAAATAGTATTGCCAAATACTCATATCTCTATATGTATCTTTCTTTACTCTAAATGTTTCTGTTAGGTATATTTGTAGAAGTGGGATTGCTAATATAGTTTTCATCTATTAAATATCAAGGTTAATAGAGCAGTTGGTGTAATGAATGCCTTGAAGCTATCAAGAGAAAACGAGGAGTCTGGACTGGGAATATCAGTGGTGATTTATTAAGGAAGCCATCCTGTACCATATATCTGATGAAAGGAGTTACATTCTTAAAGAATTGACCAATTATTTAAGAATTTTTTTTGAGATTTTATGCCAAATAATGTTAGATTAAATATGTAGTAATATAGAGCAAGGAACAAGTGAGCCAAAATTTTATATTCATAACAAATGTGATTTATTCCTATTTTTATTTTACTTATATATTTTTTTATTAATGACAAATTATGGAAATTAGGTAGTTTAAGAAATGAAATAATTTGAAAATGGGATGGTGACATAAGAAGGGTTAATGAAAATAGTGTAGGATTTATAATTTTTGTAGAAGTAAAGGATCTGTTTACTATTGTAATTGGTATTGGGCATATAGTGTTTTCAGAGACATATTCTTCCATCTCTGCCTCTTTTGCTCTACTCCTTGGAAGGAGGGTGGTGTGTGTGGTGCTTGGGAAATAGGCAGAAAACAGAATGAAGGTATCAGATACCTGAAAGGGGAGCGACTAGCACTTCACTTACTCTTATAGCTCTGTGACCCTGGGCAAGCTAGTTAATCTCTGATTTATTTTTAAAATTTATTGTTGAAGTGATACTAAAACGTTTTATTACTGATTTTAGTCATGAATTTGCATACGAGAAAATTAAAAGTATGTAATACAGGGACATTAATGGCTTGAAGAGCCCTTTTCAGCAGCTTATCAGCCTGTAAAACAATTTGCAAGAGGCTTGTAAGGCACTAAGAAGCACCATGAAATTCTGAAAGAGTTAATATGCTTTTGGAACTATCCATGCACTCAAAGGGAACCCGAAACTCTATGACATCCATAACTAACTTTTTACAATTTCTACTGTTTTCCCTTTCACTCTAGTCTGTTTATACTGAAATGTGTAGATTAAGTAGCTTTGTATTTTTCATTTTACCATTAATTTTATGTCAGCTACTTTGTGGCTGTTTAAACAAAGCATTGATTTAATTGCTTTGTTTGTCCTTTCTTCTTGTTCTAGGCAATGGGCCTCACCACGACCGTTGTTGTACGTATAATGAAAACAACTTGGTGGATGGTGTTTATTGTCTCCCAATAGGACACTGGATCGAGGCCACCGGGCACACCAACGAGATGAAGCACACAACAGACTTCTATTTGAATATCGCAGGCCACCAAGCCATGCATTATTCAAGGTAAAAATAGTGCCATGTTTATAGGCATAGAAATAGGACAAGAGGTAGCATTAGGACAATGGAAATATCTACTGTGTTCAAGTCTGCAGTGTCTCCCTTCAGGGAGGTGTCTAGGTCTTCAGTTCTGTGAGGAGATAAATTACTGTGAATCAGTGTGTGAGCTTTTCTGGTTCTTGATGTGAAGGATCCTTTTTATAGAATTCTTTGATTGAATACATACCTTGGCGTCAACATATTTTGACCAATTTGCAATGATATGGATGGACCTAGAGAACGCTATGCTAAGTGAAATAAGTCAGACTGAGAAAGACAAATACCGTATGATCTCACTTATATGTGGAATCTAAAGAACAGAACAAATGAGCAAACAAAACAGAAATAGTCTCAGAGATATAGAAAAAAAACCCGATGGTTGCTAGATAGGAGGGAGGTAGAAAAAATGTTTTGAAACATATTTGTCTCCAAATAAAAAAGAATTTTTAAAATGCACACTAAGCAGATTCAAGAAATTCCAGCTTATTCTATTTTGTACAGAATTTGTTTTAAATCTTAGATATTTAATATTTCTAGGAGAACATTTTACTTCCTTTTAAAATCTTTGGCTCACAAATGCTATCGCACAGTGAGCATTTCTGTTCTTTATTTCAGTCTTATTTGAGAGGGAAGAATAGCTTTGACTTTGTTTAAAATCACTTGAACTCTGTGGGCTCCAAGGTAACTTTTTCTTCAGCACCCCAAGCTCCATTTGCTGCCAAAAAAAACTTGACTTTTTAGTTCAAATAAAAATATCTTGAAAAGGCTTATTAAGGAAAAAAAAACACACCAGATTTTGACCAGACAGTAGGTAACCAATCTTTGTCCTTAGTGGATTAAAGATAAAAACTGGATGAAAATATCCTAGATCAATATTTGTATCTTTTATGCTATTGACGAACAGTAAAACAAAAATGGGTATCTTCTTATAAAATCTTACTCAAATAAACATGGGTGAAAATCTAGACATAAAACTAGATTAGATGTGATTATGTGCTGTATTATTTATTAGTGTATTAATTTTTATTTATGTTTATTATTCAAGCAACATATGCCCTGTTAAAAATGTAAACCCGAGAGGATGCTAAATGTAAAGTAAGGTTCACTATACTTTCCTTTATTCCCCCTCGTCACACCTAACTCTATTTAAACATTTATGGTTAGTTTTTCTGGAGGGTAAATTCAAGTCTTAAATAATATGCATGTACTTTGTTAATGTGTTAATTTAAAAATAGCTATTGATGCCCGTCTATGACATGAGAAATTTAGTTCACGTAGACTTGTCCTCTTTCCCCAATCCCTACCAGACTCATTAATTTGTTTTTTAATTTAACTTCATAAAAATTCTATTTCTTGACTGATACTTTTTTAACAGTGTTTCCTGATTTCTTACTGTGTAAGATCAGAGATTTATTGCCCCTATATTATCCTCCATATCTACTTCTACCTATTAGCTCCTATTTTTTATTGCATTTACATCTTCAAGGTTTATGGAATTTACATTTAATTTAGTAAATGTAAATAAGTCTCTCATACTTCGATACTTTCAAATTTCAAACCAATATCCAATATATGCAATAGTATGTACTGTATACTGTATAACATGCAGTGTTTGTACCATAAACAAAGATGCATTCTCATGTTCTTAAAAATTGTATTGTTTCATTCAAGAGAGAATTAGGGCTGTGTTGAGCAGGAGAGAAAGAGAATGCAACGTCACCATGGTGTTAGGGAATCAGTATTCTTCTTGGACACACCTTTCTTATGAATTCATGCTACATGCTGCTCTTGCAGATGAATAGGAGGCAAAGCATGAAGAACAGATTAATTACGTGTGAGTCATGGTTTTATGGCCTGTGCAACTAGATTAATGATGTTGCTGTTTACTGAGATGGAGAAGACTAGGAGATGAGCAATTTGGAATAGGGGTTGAGATAAAAATTATATTTTGGACATACTACAATTGAAATGCATGTTAGATTGCAGAAAGGCAATCAATTTAATGTGTGAAGTTTTGAAGAGAGTTTGGAAATGGAGAGAAAAATAGATGACATTCAAAGTGATGAGTTTGGATGAACTCACTTAGCAATTGAGTGTAATATAGAAGAGAAGAGGTAAAAATACCACAATTTAGAGATCAAGGAGAAGAAAAGGATCCAGAGAAAAGAATGAAAAGGAGCACCCGTTGAGCTGTTCTCACACTTAATGCGGATGTGTTTATGGGTGATTTTTCACTTATCCTGAACCACATCTGCTGAACCCTTTTATCTGAAAAGTCATGTCTTAGGCGGTAGGCTTTTTCTTCTATTATTTGATTATTTCTTCCCGTTTATTACCGTATTTGCCGGCGTATAAGACGATTTTTTGGCCCTGAAAAATATGCCTCCAAGTTGGGGGCCGTCTTATACGCCAGGTACACTTCAGATAGACTGCCCATAGTGCTTGCCCCGTGCCATAGTGGCCTCCCGATGCCCGCCCACTTCATTCCACATAC